ATGACTGCCTGAGAAAGATTCTCTGCAGTCTGGGGGAATGACTCAGCACAAGGGTCCACATGGGTGCCCTCTGAGCTCTATTCCCCCAGCCAGCCCCTCTGGATTCTCCTCACACAGCTCGAGCCCACTCTGCCCTCCCTCTGCTGGAGCCGAGGGTTAGTGGCTGCACATGAAACTGCGTTGGCCCTTTTAGAGGGTGCCTGCATTTCCAGCTGTCTCTCCCTGGCAGACAGACACCCGGCTGCTTTTCACAGCCAGATGTTATGTGGGCACCTGTCTTAGGTCTGGAAGCCCAGCCTGGGGTTTAGGTCTCAGAGTCCTCAGTAGGAACCCCCCACAGCTGAGATCTCCCTCCGGACCTTCAGCTGCTGCCTGTGGGAGCGCAGCCAGCCCCTCGCACCTCACACTTCCTACCCGTCTCTATGTGGTCTCCACTTTTCCTTCTTGGTTAGAGGGTGCTCTCCAGCTCGTCTTCAGTTGCAGTTGATTATTCAGGGTGGTTTTTCTCTATTTTAGTTGTCATTCCAGTTTGGTCCCGGGAGAGCAGCAGGGTAGCCTCCAGTCTGCCACCATCTTGGATCTCAAGAATTTATATTTTATACTTGTTAAACTGAGGGTTGGTGAATAGTTAGGTTATCATTGAAATCTCAGGGTTGGTCCCAAGGGTACTCATACAGTGGAAAACCACAGTGTTTGTTACTTTCCTTAGAAAATACCTAGTAGGTTAAAAAAAACACCCAAACTAATTTGACCTTTGGTAACTGATAGTAACTCCCGGTGGGAAGGAGGGTGGGTTAGGCCGAGCGCCTGCCCTGATGCTGCTGTCAACCATGTTTTCACCTGTTCATCGCCTGGGGACCGTGGTCTCTTCACAGATGGGGGAAAATCGCAGACATCTCTGGGGGATTGACGGAAGCCAAGTCCTTTCCCTAGGGTGGCACCTAGTGACAAAGTGTAGACATTTTCAGGGGACATTCGTAGGATCCCACTTGCTCTGAAACTGATGAAGCTGTACTCCCTGACCTTGGAAAATTATTTTAGGTGACCTGATTCTAATTGAGGGAAAGAAGATTACACATCTAGAAACATGGTTTTCAATCAGTGCTGGTTAGGATACTGGAAAGAGGCGCTCATGTCCTCTGCCATCCGCTGTCTGGGAAGCAGTCTGGCAGCATGTGCTGAAATATTTCACAAGGCTCACATTCTTTAACTCAGCAATCCTGCTTCTTAGAAGCCTCTCCTAAATAAATCACTTCAAAAGATAAAAAACTTCATGCACAAAGATGGTTGTCAGAGTGTTATGGTAACGTCCTGTATTAGGGATATAGAGTGAGTGAGTGATGGCATTTCAGTAAGATAGAATCATTTTCACAACATACGGGAAATGCTTTTGTTCTAATGCATGAAAAAAGTAGGATGTGAACCGGGGTCTCAAGGAGTGAAGTTGCCCTGCCGGCGTGGCATCGACCTAGGATCCAGGAGATCGTGGTTCGATTCCCAGTCAGGGCACATGCCCAGGTTTTGGGCTCTATCCCCAGCGGGGGGCGTGCAGGAGGCAGCCGATCCATGACTCTCATCAGTGATGTTTCTCTCCCTTCCTCTCTCTAAAAAATCAATTTAAAAAAAGGAGTGCAAAAGTTAAAGTGCAGTGTGTGGAGGGTATATATCAATGTTAATATATAAGTGTTAATAACAGCTGTTGCTCATGTAGAAGGGTCAGGGGCTTTTTAAACTTTTCCTGTATATGCTCTTGTTTCCAATAAATAGTTCTGGAATTGGGGGAATGTGATTCTGGAAAATGGTAGCATGTGGAGATAGGTTGGCAGTAGAGACCTAGCTGGGTTAGGTCCCTGTTCTGTGTAAGTGAAGAACTAGCCTTTGACTTTTTTTTTTAATACTCACCCAAGGATATGTTTTTTGATTTTAGAGAGAGAGGAAGGCATAGAGACAGACAGACAGACACATCAATGTGAGAAAGAAACATTGATCGGTTGCCTCCCTAAAGCGCCCTGAGCGGGGATTGACCCTACAATCTAGGTGTGTGCCCACAACCTTTTGGTGTGCGGATGACGCTCCAACCAACTGAGCCACCGGCGAGGGCTTGACCTTTGATTGATGATGTCTTTGGACTGGCTTTCAGTATGGCCGAGGGGAGGCCTGACATCTGGGAACACTTGCTGAGAAGTGTCACGAGCCAGCTCAGAGACAGTGCTCAGTGCCCTGGCCAGCACGCACACCTCCCCTGCTGTGTTGGGCCTTGGCCATTTCTTCCTTTGTGGTGAGTGGTTTGTGCTCACGTCGTCTGGGAGCTCTTCTGGAACGGTCCTGAGGCCGTCGCAGCATCTGGACCTCGAGCGCCTGCTTCCCTTTGTTTCCTGTCCGGAGCAGAGGGCGGAGAGCCTGGGTCTGAGCCTCCGCCGGGCTGAGGCGGCCGGGTCAGGGACGGTGGCGTGGCAGACGCTGATGGATGTTTTGTGCTGCCGTTTTTCAAGTGTCCGGTCTGAGTGGACACCCAGGACCTCTGATTTAATGCCAGCCTTCGCTACCTTCCAGGGTATTAATAAGAGAGCTTTTATCTGGGAATAGAAGTCACTTCTGACTAACTTTTCTCTTTAGGATTCACAGATGGATTCCCTAGAAAAGAAAACAAACAGAAGTGAACAGAAGTCCAGGTAAGTGAAGTGAACTCCACCCTTGGGCAGGTTTGTTGTGTCTGCCAGTCTCCTTGTTACTCAGCACCTGCAAGGGTGGGAATGAGGTGGGAACCAGGGTCAGGACGGAGTCACAGGGGCTGCGTGGCCCCTGGCTTCAACATCAGAAACCCTCCAGAAGGGAGGTGACCACCCCAGCAGCGTGTGGTCAGAGGGTCCCGTTTGGGACTAGGAGGCCATGCTTCACAGGGGAGAATTTCCTGACTGGACCGCGGGCTTGTTATAAAGGGTTCGAGGTGGGAGGCACCTCTCCGAGTGTTTTGAGATTGATAAGTGGCAGAAAACCAGCAGTTTGCCAGAATTTTATGTGTCTCAGGAAGCAGGGATCATGTCATCATAGTTGTTCACAGGCCCTTTGCAGTTTCAAAGGATTAAAATAGCTGAGCTTTTTGTTCAGAGATAGGTACCACTTACATGTGCAAGTGCTTAACTCCGCGGGGGACTCGTGAGCAAGACGCCCTGTCCCCAAGCCCTTTGTAGAATGAAGGTAGAGCACATAGAATAGACAGGAAAGACAGCGAGGCTTCGTCTTCCAGCAGCGAGTTGGGAGAACGTGTGTGTGGCTCAGGCCGTCTAGACCGTGCCCTTTCCGGCCTCCCCTGCAGACTGCTTTCAGTGGGGCTGCAGCATTTCCGTGCTGACTTGCGGTCTCTCCCTCCCTGTTTTTACGCAGAAAGTTTTTAAAAAGCCTCATCCAGAAACAGCCGCAGGAGCTGCTCCTGGTGATTGGGACGGGCGTCAGTGCGGCGGTGGCCCCGGGGATCCCTGCGCTCTGCTCCTGGCGTGGCTGCCTGGAAGCCGTCATTGAGGCAGCGGAGCAGCTGGATGTGCTGCACCCTGGGGACGTGGCCCAGTTCCGCAGGAAGGTGAAGGACCGCGACCTGCTGGTTGTTGCCCATGATCTGATCCGGAAGATGTCACCGGTAAGACTTGCTCAGGGGTCACCGGGGTGACTTGCTCTGGGGCAGGCTGGTGACTCTGTAACTCCCCCAGTTAATTTCTATGAACCTATGTGTGTCTTTCTCAGCCAACTTGGGCTGAGGAGCCAGAGATCTTAAAATCCATCAGAATCTCGTCTCTTTAAACAGCAATACCGGGGACAGAGTGGGGCTCCTAAAACAACAGCCGTGTTGCCTGGAGCCTGACTGAGACTGTCAGGGAGGGCATGTCCTCAGGCTGTGCTGGGGATGAGCCTGTGGTTTCCTGTCACTTAGTGAAGGGTTTCCTTGGTCCAGGCTGACCTGCCCCATTGCCTCGGATGACAGTGGTTCCTAGAGACACTACGATGGGAGGAGTGTAGTTTCTGTGTCTGCAGGTGGAGGTGACCTGGGAGAGGAGAGGCACAGGTGCTGCAGAACACCACTGGAGTCCGGGGCGGTGCGGGAGTGGGCACCCCACACAGCTGCAGAGCCAGGTCCTCACCGAGCAGGTTGCTGCAGCACAGGTGCAGACACTGGGGAACCAGGCAATGCGGGGCTTGGGCAGGTTCCTCTCGTCACTCCTGTACACTGAGGAAGCACAACCATCATGGGTGATGGTGAGGTTTGGGAACTGGGGCCAGGAGATGCTGGAAGATTAGCAGGAGGAAGCATGAAAAGTCATCAGGAGGCAGGACAGCTTAGGCTGCTGTGAAGAGAGACCCTTGGCCGCTGGCCTACGTACGATTACGTCTTGTTTCTCACACAGAGATCTGTAGGCAGCGCTGGGAGAGCGTGGTGGCCCCGGCTCCTTTTTCTCGCTGCACCATCCTCACCATCCAGCTCGCAGTGTGTGCTCCAAGGCGGGGCCCCACGCCTGCTGTACATGACCCCAGCGAGCGGGAAGGGGCTGCCATGGAAGTCATGTGGACCACGTCTGTTCTCATCACTGGCCAGTGTGACACGTGGCCACACCCAACTTTACCAGGGTCTAGGGGAGGGCTCCCAGCCGGTGGCTGTGCCGAATGTGGGTGTTCTGTGCTGAGGGGCAGCGAGCATCGCAGGGCGGGTGGCCCCGCCCGCCTGCTGCGCCCCGTGTGTGAGGCTCTGGGCACACAGTCATGCCCATGTGTTTTCATGCTGCAGCGCAGAGCCTGGGTAGTAGCAAGAGACTGGCCTCGAAGCCTGGAGAGGCTCCTCCCTGGTCCTTTTTAGACAGTGTGCTGGGCCCTGTCCGGAGAAGGGGGACCAGAGAGGTGCTGGGACTGCTGGGCAGACCGAGGGCCCGTTCGGATGAGGGCATTCATTCGAGGAGAGGCCAGACGGGCTGCTACCTGTTTAATCGAGGAGATGAGTATTTGGAGCTTTAGTCTACTTTTCTCTTTACTTTTGTGTATTTTTGAAAACTTCCACAAAAAAAGAGTTAAAGTGCCGCCGGTCAGAACGTTGTGTTTCCCCCGTCGTGTTCAGCAGGTTGAGAACAGGTGGGGAGTCAGTGGAGAGACAAGGTCTGTGGGAGCAGGTCCGTCGCCTGCAGGTCCGGATGGATTTGGAGTGGTCCTGGGAGCCTGCAGGCGCCGGAGCTGGGCAGGTGGGAGGAGAGGTTGGAGCAGAGCTTCTGGAAAGGGTCCGGCTCTGGGTAATGGTGAGGTTTGGGATGTGGCCGTGGGTGTGATGGCCTAGCTGGGACCCGCTCCTCGGAGGAGAGGGGGAGGTGTGTCGAGGCCACGGAGCAGTAAGGGTCCCTCAGTGAACCTGAAGACAAGCACAAGCTGACACAAGCACAGCTGGGGAGAGTTGACAGTGTCCAGGCGCCCCCCCCATCCAGGGAGTGTGAGAGTCTATTTTCACTTAGGGAAGGAGTGAGGACAGAGGTGTGGGACTTACTGATGACAGAACCACTGGGAGCCGGTGGAAGGGTTTTGGAATTGGGGAGGGTGTCAGAAAAGGGAGCGCCCAGAGCCACGGGACGAGTGGCAACTTGGGACAGAGGGCAGGGACAGAAGGGTGAATTCTGAGGGACACACTGAAGCAGAGGGTGGGCAGAGGGGTTCTGTGTGGATGCACAGCCCGCCCGTCGCCCGCCCAGTGCTCCCTCATCCTGTGAAGCTCTCCAGTGTGTGCCGGTCTCTCCTAATTTAGGGAGCCGTTGAGACACCATTTCCTAGACTACAGCGGAGAGAAACCCTGTCGTTTGCAGCTCTCAGGGAAAATCTTTACCTTGCCTTCGAGGCCCCACGCGACCTGGTCCCAGGTCACCTCCGACCTCACCTGCTGACACGGCCCCTCACTCATGTCTGGCAGGAGGGCGCCCTGCTCACCTTGGACCCACCTGTGCTGCCGCCTCTGCCATGGTGCTTGTTCTTCCCGCTGCTGGGAACACCCCCCCCAGAGGCCCCTCCCTGCCAAACGCCCTTGTCAGAGCCCCCCCGCGCCGTGCCTGCGACCCATCCACCCTTTGCCTGGCAGTGCCACCCTTTGCCTGGCAGTGCCTGTCCCCCTCTCTCTGCTTCACTTTGCCCAAAGCATTTAGCACCATTGACACATCACACGTTTGTACATTGTCTCCCTCGTATAGAGCCGAATAAACACTGTGAGGGCAGGGGTTTCCTCCCTCCCTCTGTCCCTCCGTCCGCCCAGCACCCAGTGTTGCCTGGGTAGGTGCTCACGTTGTTGAGAGGTGACATTTTTGTAACTCTCGGTCCACCTTTCCACAGCGCACAGGCGACACCAAGCCCAACTTCTTCCAGGACTGCCTGATGGAGATCTTCGACAACCTGGAGCAGCACCTCCAGCACCCGCAGGTGCTGCAGTCCATCCTCAGCCTGATGGAGAGGGGCACGCTGGTGCTGACCACCAACTACGACAACCTGCTGGAGATCTTCGGGCAGCAGCAGAACAGGCCCATGGAGTCCTTGGATTTGAAGGACAAGACCAAGGTACGGGCGAGGGTCCATGGGCGGGAGGCGTGTGGAGGAGGCCCTGTGAGCGTCCGCGGTGCTGTGGGCGTGGAACAGCTGCTCTCTGCAGCGGGAGTCACTGTGAAAGGTGTGTCAGCGCTCTCCCCCCTCCGCAGAGAAACATGACCCTAGCTTGTCTGGGACCAGGTGCCAGCCTCTTTCGCAGGCAACTTGAGTGGAGGGTGATGCCCCACTTCCTGGGACTCCTCTCAGGGCTCCTGCGTTCTGTCCTACTGATCTGCAGGGGTTTTCCTCTGCATTTATTCACCGTGGTCATTGTAGGAAATAGCTGAGGGAAGCAAAACCAGCCAGTCCTAGTGCTGTGAATTTTGGTTAATTCACTTTTTTTTTTAATCCCCACCTGAGGATATTTTTTCCATTGCTTTTCAGAGAGTGGAAGGGAGGGGGCGGGGGAGAGAGAGACATCTATGAGGGAGAGACATCGAGTGGTTGCCTCCTGCAGGCTCCCCAACTGGGGCCGGGGATGAGCCTGCACCTGAGGTGCATGCCCTTAGCAGGAATCGAACCCGGGACTCTCCAGTATGAGGGCCGACACTCTAACCATGAGCAAAACCAGCCAGGGCTAATTTGCTTTAAAAACCCCACAAATTGGGATTGCAATATATAAAAAGTTATTACCCTGACTTTTTTTCCTGAATATTATATTCTGAGCCTTTTTCTGTCATTAGCTGTTTTATTTTATAACTAACTAACTTTTTACCTCTGATATATTATCTGGGGCTTTGATCGCACGTGGCTGCTGCTTTACGTCTCGGTTGTCGGAGCTCTGTCTGGCGAGTCTGCAGGTGGTTCTCTAGGTCGCTTGCTGTGTCAGTTAGTTGCAGTTTAGATGTGGTCACGGGAGGTGGCAGGCGCAGTGTTTATCGCTCTGCCATCTTGACCTGACTCCATTACTCTGGTTTTAAAAGCCTGATTTTAAAGGACAGTGTCATTGTAAAACTAAATAAAGTATGGCTGTTACCCTTCCTCTCTGTTGTTGGCATATTTTCATCTTATAAATAATGCTGCAGCAAAAATCCTTACCCTTCTGTGTCTGTTTTTCTTTAGCACAAATTCCTAGAAGAGATTCAGAGTCAAGGGTGTGACTAAAGACAGGTGATGTAAGTCACCAAATTGTTTTCCAGAAAGGTTATCAGTTTGTAGTCTCACCAGCTGCTGTGGGTGTCGGCCGACCTCTCCTTACTGCCTTCACAGGGTCGGGTTTTTTACCACCTGGAGGCAGCAGGGCCCTCACCAGCAAAGACGGTGGCTCGCTTCATGGCGGTGCTCGCTTTTTCTTGCGTGATCTGGAACCTAACCCACAAAGCGTCCGACGGACGCCTGGGTCCATTTCCTGTATCTTGCCAACACTTGCTGCTACTCAAAAACAAAACAGAGTATGTTTCACCCATAGGATAGGTGAACATTTTACGTTTTTATTTATCTTATTACTAAGGTTCAACGTAGTTTTATTTTAGTGATTATTTTTTCTGTCACGTCCGTGTCCTTTATGTGTCTGCTTAGAGATTTTATGTCATGACTGTGAACTAATGCTGCTGCTGTCGTCCGGGTCACCTCGTGAGGGAAGGCCTCAGCCCGCTGTGCACACAGGGAGCCAGAGATGGAGGCTCGCTCAGGCCGAGTCAGCCTGAGGGCTTGGCTCGCCCAGGGGAGCTTCCGCTGGCAGCCCCTCATAGAGCACTGTGCTGCGCAGGCCTCCTGGTGTCGTCACTCCCTCTCTGAGCAGAACGCCTGCCGTGTCCAAGAGACCTGGTCCCACCTGGGAGGCTTGTTCACTGTTGTAAATGTCGTCTCTGGAAATACATGCATGTGGCAGACATGTAGGAGCTCACCTGCTTGCTCTGTTAGAGCTGTTGCTGTCTGTCTGTCCATCTGTCAGCACTGCCTGCTGAGGCATAAAATGGAATGTAGACAATGCACATCTTTTTAAGGACCTTTGTTCTGAATCCTGAACAGAAATCACTGTGGGGCTACTGATACATTATTTTTGCGTGAACTTTTTTGGGTATATGAACATTATATACCTAGCAGGAGTTGAGATGTAACAGGTACCGTAGGAATGAAGGTCCTCCTGACCCCTCTACAGAGGTCAGTCTCAGCAGCCTGCTGTAACCTCAGGTGTCGAGGACACACCTGTCTCTCACGTTCTTGTTGATGTGACCTGACAGGAATAATTGCTCACAGCTCACAGCTGAGTTACTCTCAGGTTTCAAAGGTACAATTATCGATGCAAACATCTCATTCTTTCCAAGGTCGGTTTGAAAAACCACGAATCAGTTTAGATACTTCTCTTTCCTACCTTTTCAGTAACTCCAAGCGTCTTTTCTTGGGCTGGGTCTTTGGCAGGTCCTTCAGTGGGCGAGAGGACTCATCAGGTACGGTGTTCTGCACATCCATGGCTTGTACACAGACCCCTGCGGGATGGTCCTGGATCCGTCGGGATACAAGGACGTCACTCAAGACCCAGAAGTGATGGTACGGCCGCCTGGTCTGGCACGGCTTATCCCCCCAGGGGCTCTGGTGGCAGCAGTCTGTGTGCCTTCCTGGCCTCAGGCATTCCTGCCCTCGGGTCTGCATGGCTGCAGGGACGGACCTGTGCTCATGTCCTGCGCTGTGTCCCAGGCCTGGCACAGGCATTTCGCATGGTGCTCAGTAAACGTTTGGTGCAGGACTCCTCGTAGCAGGGGTCCAAGCTGACTCCATGCCGCCCGCCATCCCGGGACCCTGCTCAGGGACGCAGCTGAGGTTCTTCTGAGTGATGTGCGGGCCTGTGCTCTGTGCTGCTGTTCCCGTGTTCATTCAGGTGTCTTCCTGTTCAAATTCTCTCCTCTCTCTACTTGGCACTCTCTCTAGCTTTCAAAACCCAGTTTTAAAATTTGATTCTCTGTGAGGCTTTCTTGATATCAGAGATGAAGTGGAGTGTGGACCTGTCTCCCGCTTTTCATAAAGTCCTTTGTTACAGCTCTGAGAAGCCACGGGGTGTCCCTGCGTCACTGGGAGCCTGGGGTCAGGTGCGGTCCCTCGGTGCTGGCCTGGGCCTGTGGGACAGGGCAGGTGCGGCATGTGGCTGGCTGGGCTGAGGCTCTCCGGCTGCATCAGTGAGGTGTCCTGGGTCCTGAGACATCTCTGATCTGATATTTCTCCTCTGAGACGTTGGGGTGTTGGAACTGCAGGCCTGAGTGACCCACGTAATCTTTGCCCCCCCGTGCCCACTCCCCTGGGCCACTGCCATTGTTTCCTCCTCAGTTCTGCTGCCCTTGCTCCCCAAAACGCTATTTCCCCGATACCAGCCTCCAGTCCCCAAAAGTTCCTGTCAGTGGTCCATGGAAACATGTTAATTCCAGAGTGTGGCTTGTGTAGCTCTGAACAGAAATGTTTCATTTCGTTATTTTATGTTTGGAAATTGTGCTTGGTTCTAGAAGATCTGAGCTGAGTGGACACTCAGCTCAAGATTGGTGGGCAGGGTGGGCTCCTGGCCTGGAGAGGGAGGCGCTGCCTGACGGCGCCCGTGTGGCTCTGGGAAAGGCCGCCAGGAGCAGGACGAGTAGAACTGCGGCTGTGGGTGGGCCGCCTGCGCCCCGCACCTGTGCAGCTCAGCTGTCCCTCACCCACAGGAGGTGCTCCAGAACCTGTACCGCACCAAGTCCTTCCTGTTCGTGGGCTGCGGGGAGACCCTGCGGGACCAGATTTTCCAGGCGCTCTTCTTGTACTCGGTGCCGAACAAGGTGGACCTGGAGCACTACATGGTGGTGCTGAAGGAGAGCGAGGACCACTTCTTCAAGCAGCAGGCTGACATGCTGCTGCACGGCATCAAGGTCGTGTCCTATGGCGCCTGCTTCGACCACTTCCCGGGCTATGTGCAGGACCTGGCCACGCAGATCTGCAGGCAGCGGAGTCCAGGTACGCAGCCCTCACTTCTCCATGCCCAAAACCCACAGGGTGCCTCCAGGTTCTTCCTTTCTTTTTTGTTTTTTAGATATAATTCACGTCATAAAATAAAATAGAGGTCTTATTTCTTATTTATTTTAAAAAATATATCTTTATTGATTTCAGGAGAGGAAGAGAGAGAGATAGAAACATCAGTGAGGAGAGTCATTGATCGAGCCCGCAACCCGGGCATGTGCCCTGACGGGGAATCAAACCCCGATTGCCTGGATCCTAGATCGACGCTCAACCGCTGAGCCATGCCCGGCCGGGCGAGGTCTTATTTTATATACCGTTACATTCACCAGTTTAGTTATTTTCCAAAAATGTCCCTGTGTCCTTTGAACATGGAGGGTCAGTGTGACAGTGTTGTCGGCAAAGCCGAGGGCTGTGCGTGGCGCGGCACATAGTGGTTCCGGTCCGGACGTTAGCGAATGGAGACAGGAACTGCCAGGGCTTCCCGGGCCGACGCCGGAAGCCTGAGTCCTGCAGATAGTTCACACCTTCATCCTGTCACTAAATGGCAGGGACACATCACACCTTCTCCGTGCTCGGCTGAGGGCCGCCCACCATTCAGCAATTCTCCTTGGCCCTTCGTCTGGGTGCTGTTCACCTGCCGGGAGTGACCGAGATCACAAGCGACTCTTAAATCGGTCACCTTAACATCAGGCAGCTAGTGGCTGAGCTTGTGTCATAGATCATGGATGGCGGAGCTGGAAAAGTCTGTGACTTTCATTTGGTGGTAACAGGAAACCCAGGCACGTGCATGGCAGCATCGGGTGCACCACGGAGGTGGGCGCTGGGTGCCACCAGCTGTGAACGCGAAGGCTAGAGACGCTGAGGGGGTGGGCGATGGACGGACGCACGGCTGACACAGTGCCTTGGTGCCCCCCGAGTCATCTTCATAAATAATTAGCAAAATGGACCGACGTGGGCATTTCCGTGAACAAAAGTGTGATTAGAGCAGCAGTCGGTTCTTACTGAGGAGCAGGGAGCTGTGCTCTCAGGCGGCCGTGACCCTGACATCCGTGACCTCATTCCACGTTTAGTCACAGGGTCCACCGCAGCCAGCAGTTGATTTGTAGATGAGCTCGGAGGTGAACGACGTGCTGGCCGGTGCCGGGTACTTCGGAGCTGGGTGGGTCCTGGCCTGAGCAGTGTGAGCCGTCCCGTTCAGGGCGTCCCGAGCAGGCCTGTATGGCGGCTCTGGAGAGGGACGGAGTTCCCCTCCCCTCTGCCCGGACGGCCACCTCTTGCCGCCACACGTGCAGGCACCTGGGGCACCAGACCTGGTGTAAACCCGCGTGAGCTTGGCCCGGAGCGTGCCGCTGAGCACCTTCCTGTCCCCCTGCCCCCACACTCTCTGTCCAGACCTTGTAATCTGTCTGCAGGGACATTTGTACTTACACTTGTGAGGTGCCTCTCCTGGCTGGAGAGGGTAGCATTCCAGCAATGCCAGGTGATAGCTGGTGCCACGCTGTGCTCCGTGCGCCAGGCTGGCCCAGGTGCTGCACATGTAGCCCTTGGGAGGTGGGGAGGAACGGGTACTAACCAATTGGCCCAGGACCACCCACGGTCATGCCAGGCAGCAGCCTCGCCGCCACCTCCACTGCCAGCTGGGGGGTGCACGCAGCTCTGCCCGCTGACTGCTTTCCTTTCTTCCCAGATGCCGATCGAATGGACAGCACCACGCTGGGTAAGGCAGAGCTCGAGTTTTATCAGACTGGTTTTTGCCTGCACATTCCGTTGTCTTCCTGCTGTCTGTAAAATCGTAGATGTGTCCTCACGCTGAACATTTGGCCATGTGAACACAGCTCCACCAGAGGTGGCAGCAGTGCCCACGTGAGGGCCTGTAACAGGGAAGGGGCTAAGGAGCCTCCCTTCCCCCGGGACACAGGCCCGAGGATGGCTCCTGTCCCACAGCCGGGAGTAATGGCCTCAGGACGAGGTTCTGTTTGTTACGCAGTCAGGCTGAGACGTGGTAACTGACCCACCCCCTCAAGTTTTAATTATGAAGGTTCTGAGCTTTCATATAAAATTTTCTATTTACTGTTTACTACCTGGTTGAAATACAAATTCTCTTTCTGCTGGGCTCCACTCTGCCTGTTTCTGAACTAAGATAATGGCTGAGCTCGGTGGCTACCAGTGTCCCCCTTGGGTGAACCTGACACCGGCCTCCACTCTGGTCGGGTTGTGGATCAGAGGGGGCTCAGCTGTGGACCGGGGCCTCCGTGTGCCACCCGGTCCCCCTGCTGCTGGGCTCAGTGGTCCAGAGTGACCCTCCTGAGCGGGTGGGCTTCCGTTCAGGAATCATGGCGGTTGTGCTCAGCTCCCCATTTCTGCCTGTCTCCGCGTGAAGGCGCCCGGTGGTTACAGTAGCTTTCCCCAGACCCTAAGCATTAACATGACACCACCTGGCTCCTGGGCTCAGCCGGCTGGGGGGAGCCCAGGGCAGCCGCCTCACCCCGTCTCCGTGTTCCAGGGAGCGCGTGCCAGGACTGTGCGAAGAGGAAGCTGGCAGAGAACGGAGCCGAAGTTTCGAAGCGGCCCCGACAGTCAGGTACCCGCAGAGCTCTTCCTCTGCGCGCTTCTGCAGGCTTGCCTGGCTGTGGGCATCGCAGGCACCACCCTAGCCGCTCTCCAGGAGCGACGTGACGCATGTCATTCCATCTGCCCCGAGGGACCCACTTCTGAATACTTCCGTTTCTTTAACGTCACTGAAAAAAAATACATAGAGGACGGGTAAGGTCAGCGGTGAATTCCCACAAGGTGAACACCCACGGAGTGCATCCAGTTGCAGGTGCACAATGTTGTTGGGAACCGCCCCCCTTTTCAGTCACCCCCCACCCCCAAGGGTGACCAGTGTCCTGACTTATGTCACCTTAGTCTCCAGGGAAAACCAGTCTAAACCCTTTGATTTTTGTCGCCTCTACGACTGGAGGTTGACTTCAGTTATTCAATATGCGCCCTGTACCGACTCCAGGAGGGCGGCCCGGCTCCTCACGGTCCTGCCTCCTCTGGCTCCCAGGGTGAAGCTGGGGCTGGGAGGGGCCCCTCCTCCCCTCCCTCCCCGAGTCGCCCGTGTTGTCTCCGAGGCTGCGGGACGTGGGAAACGAGCACTCAGCCTGGCTGCGGGCTGTCTGAAAGCCGGGGAGCAGACTCCCTCACTGCGCGCCAACCACAGGACTCCCAGGCAGCCAGCTGGCTCTGGGCGCCTGCAGGCCAGGTCTCATTCACGTCTGCACTTGGACAGGCTGTTCCCTGTGCTGAAACCGCCCCGAGAGGGAGGAGCACCCACGTTCACCGGTGGCGATTTCCACAGGCCTCACAATCCCTAGTGTCCCCTGATGGGTGTTTACAACCCACAAAGCCACGTCTGGGCAGTGGCTACTCTTTCCATTATGGAGGCATTTCCGAGTCTTTAGCACATAGAAAAAACTAAAGGTTTTCCAAAATAGAAATCCTGTGGCATATACCTTTCCAAGCTGAACCTTAACATCTTGGTGTCCTTTCTTTTTGTTTAAACAGGTGATGCTGGAGCGTCTTGAAATCTTTAAAACCAATAAAACCTGCAACTTGAGAACCAACCTTCTTGTGACCACAGTGCCGTCCCCAAGCGATGAGGAATGTCCCGAGGACTCTACACAGACCTCTCGCTGCTAAACCGTCACCTTCCCCAGGAGAGCCCTGGGGTGTGTGGCTGCAGAGGCCGGGTGACAGTCCCACGGTGTGTCTACTGGGGGCAAAGCGCGCACCTTGGTATCCTCCGTGAGGACTGGTGGACAACTACCTCAGGGGCCCCGTCGGCAAGGGGGTTAGGATGCCTGGGGTTCCGACCCCCACTTGACACGCCCTCTCGGTCAAGGTGGGTTTTTCTAATAAAGGGGAGTGAAGACTGTACAAGCAACAGTAGTTGCCAAAGAGAAAATAAGAAACTAGACTTTTACATTTTCTAATTTTTATGCGGAAACATGATAGTAAAAACTTTCAACGTATGTTTGTTATGTTGTTAAATAGTAAAGAGTACTTGCGGTATTGAACCCAGTGAGAGTGGTCTTTTCAAAGGACGAGGTCAGCAGGGCTGTGGGATTCCGAAACGTTCGCAACTAGTTTGAAAGAACGGCAGGTCTTCTCGGGAAGTCACGTT